CCCAACATTTGGGAAAGGAAACTCAAAGAATCTACCTATAGCATGTAGATAAAGAGGGCTTCAAGAGGAGGAACTGGGTTAATAAACCACAATCAAAATTCCTGACCCAGAATTATTCCTGTCTAAAAGAATTGCAGAGACAAAAATGAAGAGACTGAAGGAAAGGCAGTCCAGTGACCAGCCCAACTAGGGACCCATCTCATGAGGGGACACCAATGCCTGACAATACTATGCTATGATGTGCTTACAGATGGGAGCCTGACATGGCTGTCCACTGAGACTCCCTACCAGCAGCTGACTGAGACAGAACCAGGTACTTACTCCCAACCATTGGACTGAAGTCAGGGACCCCTATGCTTGAATTAGTGGAAGGATTAAAGAATCTGAAAGAGAAATCAATTCCATAGGAAGAGCAGCAGCCTCAACTAACCCAGACCCCAGGGAGCTCCCAGAGACTGATCCACCAACCAGGAGCATCTACTGGCAGGTCCAAGGGCCCTGGCACATATGTAGAGGTCTGGCCTCAGTAGGAGAAGTTACCCTTAATCCTCAAAAGACTTGAGGCCTCAGAAAAGGAGGAAGCTTGGTGAGGGGAGAGCATCCTCTCTGAGGCAAGGGGGAGGAAGAGGGAGAAGAATGAGATGAGGAACTGTGGGAGGGAAAACAGAGAGGGGGCAATGACTGGACTGTAAATAAATAAAACAATTCTAAAAAATAAAGTAACTACCATGCTCTGAGAGAAAGCAATATAATTATGCTGGTCATACAAGACTTCCAGACAGCTCAGGAGCTATTTGTTCTTGACAGCTACTGAAAATTCACTGACAGCAAATGCAAACTTTAAAAAAACAAAGGCATTTAAAAATAATTCCACTTAAACAATACCTATATATCTCACTAAACACAAAAGTCAATCTGGTGCTTACTTAGAGCCATCACCCCTACTGACTCATGGTACTGGAAGAGGCTCTGTATGCTACCAAAGAAAGGTAAGCATAAGCCCTGCTACAGACCCTTTGATCTACAATGGTAAACTGCCTGCATGATTGCATGACACAAATTTTGTGGGAGTAACCAACCATTATGAGTAGATTTAAGGCCCGCTCCAAGATGGAACCTGTCTCCAACATTGCTTGGATGGTCAAAAATCTGAGACTAGATAGGCCATGGACCTAGAGGAAAACTGAATACTGTTGTTTTGCTAAAGTAACATAAAGTAATTCTTGATGACATTCTGCTATACCCATAGATCAGTCTAAACCAGCTATCATCAAAGAAGCTTCCTCCTGCAGTAGATAGTATGTAATGGGGACACCCACAGCTGGACAATGTGCAGAATGAGAGACTTTGGGACATTTAGTCCTAAATGGGATTTCTTCATCAAAGACCTCCCCTCAGGGCTTTGCAGCCCCATGGGTGGAGAGCAAGTGAAAACTCCCTGGAGCTCCCAGGGACTAGACCACCAACCAAGGAGTACACATGGAGGGACCCATGGCTCCGGCCACACGCACATGTGGCAGAGGATGGCCTTGTTGGACATAGGTGAGAGGAGTGGCCCTTGGGCCTGAGGGAATTCAATGGCCCAGTGTAGGGGAATGCTATGGTGGGAAGCTAGGAGTGGGTGGGTAGGTGGGGGAGTACCCTCACAGAGGCAGGGGGAGGAGGGATGGGATAGGGGGTTCCAAAGGGGAGACCTGGAAAGTAGATAACATTTGAAACGTAAATAAAGAAAAAAATGTGTGTGTGTGTGTGTAATATATATATATATAACACACACACACACATACACACACACATACACACACACACTTCCCCTGAGGATTCAGGGAGCTCTACAGAAGAGGCAGAAAGATGTTAAGAGCCAGAGAGGATGGAAGTCACCAAGGAAACAGTGTCTTCCAATCACAACAGGACTGCCACACAAATGAACTTAGAGATAGTAGCAATATGCATTGGGCCTGCATAGATCCAAACCAAATTTGCGGGGGGGGCAGCACTAATAGGACAGGGAAGTAGACATGAGCTCCCATCCCCAACCAAGAAGATGCATCCAATTATCAGCAACTCAAAAGGGAGAAATTAGTTTCTCCAAGTCTCACTGGGTACAATTTAGGGCAGATTCCATGTCCAGCTATGACCAACAACATAAGGTATCTTGGGGATACTTTTTTTTTTAAATCTCATATTGCTTTGTTTGGGCTTTTTTAACACTATAGGTCTTATACTTGTATAGTATGCTTACAATTTTGGAGTGTGTAAGCATGTTGCTCTTGGTTTGCTGTACTGCTGTTCTTTGGTCATTTTGTTTTATCATTCTTTTCTATTTGCCTGCTTTCTTGAAAGAGAAAAGTGTGGAGTTGAAAGGGTACAGAGGCGGGGAGGATATGGGGGAAGATAACCATCATCGGAATATGCTGCATGAAAATAACTTTTTAATTTTTAAGAAGTTTAAAAACAATAAATTTTAAAGGGGCTGGAGAGAACTGGATTCTGTTGTAGAGGGACTCCCAGCACCTAGTGGCTCACAACTACTTGCAACTCCAGTTCCAGGGCATTCGATGCACTCTTCTGACCCACATGGGCTGTTGCCCCCCCCCCCACACACACAAAATACTCTTTAAAAAACTAAACAAATCCTCTTGTATACTCAACACATTAGTAACATTTGAACTTGTAACATAGTGAGCTTGCTGAGTACCCTGAAAAGGGTGACTGGGAGCTGTATTGGACATATGTTTCTGACCCACTTTTGCTTGCCTATATCCCAGATAGGACAAGCTGCCTTGCCTCAAGTTTTTAGACCTTGTGGGACAGAGAATCAAAAAGAGAAGTTATAATGACTCTTGTATTTTTCTTAAAGGTGACCAGTTAGTCAGTCTCAATCATGTACTGGTCTAGAAATCAATCCAATATTGGAAATTAAAGTCTTCACTTGGAAGGTGGGATCTGGACATTTTCAGAGACATATTTGGAAGTTAACTGCAGTTCTATATTATGTTATGATAGTAAGATAGTTGGGACAGGATCTGGATTTCAAACAAGGGGAGTAGTGCAGGTGTTTAGGCTCTTTTAATTGTCAAGCTAAAATTGGTTTTGTCTCTTCTACAGTATTTATTGTAAGTTGCATTGACTGTATACTTTATAATTGTGTTAGTGTGTTGAAACCTGGCATATCTGTTACAGGGGTCTATCAACCAGCTTTTGTCTTATTGCCCTGAGTATTAGAAAACCTTGATTCTCTGAAAAAAAAAGCTTGAAAATGCTGGAAGAAGTGAATTAGGCTTTAAGCAGAAGCAAGAGGGTTGTGGGTTTGATTATTGCTGGTATATCAGCTTTAATTACATTAATTGCTAGCACCACTGCATCTGCAATAGCTTTGACACAAGAAGACAGCTACTTCTGTTAATCATCTAGCAAAAAAAAAAAAAAAATGTTACCGTCATCTCCTGCCCCTTTCTCCCTCTTCATGCTACTTGAGGACAACAGCCTATTCACTCTTCATCTTATATAAGCCTCACAGTGAATGCTAAACAAAAGAGAAAGGATCTGCCTTTGGCAAGCTAATTTTCAAAAGAATACACTAATAATAATTCTTGGTTTAATTCTATATCCAGTTGGAAAGTGTAGTTTCATCAAAACTCTAATCTTTAATTAAGAGAAACATCAGACCCCACACTAAAGGCAGATGTCTCATGATATTCTGCGCACTAGTAAGTGCTCTTTACTGTGTTAGATGAAGGCTTGGTGACCAGGAAGGGAGGAGTACAGACTGCTGTTATGATATGCTGTAAGCTGGACAACACATACACACATACACACACACACACACACACACACACTACAAAAAACAAAAACAACAAATAAATCCCCAAACTAAAATTAACACCTTTGGTCAGAAATCTAATTCTGAAGCACAGCCAAAGCCATGTAATTAGCCTCTGGCTTCTTCTCCATGGCATAGTTACCAATACTGTGAATTTTACCAGACTTTTGAGGGACAACGGTATGTAGTTAAACCTTTAATCACCACCAATATAACAGATTATTTGATTTCTCAGGTGTGTACCTTGATGTGTTATCCAGTTAGTCATGACCACTCTTCCATTTCAATGACAAGCCTTTTCTATGAAACATAAGGAAACCATAGGGTTGCTTACAGTCCTGAAAGATGGGGAAAGAAGGGAACGGACATTGAATTCTACCTCTGTGTGTTCTCCACATCCCCCAAAGCCCTGTAGACATTTTCTAGAGATGTATCATTGTTAGAACTAGATGTTGGTGAGTATGGTATTGGCAGTACATGTTTAGAAACCTGCTACACTTCCCACCTACACAAGACTGTCTCAAATATCATCAGTTTCAGTTAAGACAACTTTTGTGGGGTTGCTTGGCAGAAATATGACATTGGCCAAGAACAAGGAAATGGACTACAGGCAAGAATCTGACATTAGGCTAGAACAAAGAAGTAATTTCAGGCAGGAATTTAAATCTTAAGCCAGAACAAAGAAGTAGGCTTCAGACATGAAAATGACTTTGGGCTAGGACAGGGAAGTAGGCTCAGATATTTTGGTCATACTGATAAGCCCTTAGAAACAGTGATCACAGAAGCAATCTGTTTATTGTCCTGCTTGTCCTTTGACTATCTGGGTTTATTGTCTTGCTTGTTCCTTGACTCTTTGCATCTATTAAATTGCTAGTTCTTCAGCCTAGAACTGACCTTAATACTTGCATGTAATTTAAACAGTATAAAAGCAGAAAAGGAGAAGGGATGGGATAGGGGGTTAATGCAGGTAGGGGGGAAATGGGGAAAGGGGTTAACATCTGAAATGTAAATAAATGTAAAAAAAATACTGAATAAAATATCAAATAAATAAATAAATAAATCATTCTGCTTGACCTATTTATCCCAGCAAAACAGATTGAAAGAGAATACTTTCACATTGCAAACTCTTTGGCAAAGTGAAACAAACACCATCTTCTAAAATATAGCTAGACCACAATTTAATGTTCCAAATACTGTATTTTATTTTATACACTTCTGTACAAACTCATACCACTGTGGACATCAGAAGACAACTTTTGAGAGTTGGTTCTCCCCTTCCCCCATGTCCCAGGGATTGAACTTGGGTCAGCAGGCTTGGCAGACTAGAGCCTTTACCCCGTGAGCCATCTCTCCTGCCCAGAATTCCAAATGTAATGTTAAGAGTCTTCTGTTGGAGACTTCCCCATCTAGCCTTGGTTTTTTTGTTTTTTTTTTTTTTTTAATTTCTTTCTTCCTTTCTTTCTAGCTATGACCACCATTCCTGTGTTTTCGTGTCCTGGGCATCCTCCTAATATGTGAAGGATAGATGCAGACACTTGCGTGAAAGTCCTAACTGGCTTACTAGTTCAGTTACAAGCAAATATTCTTTGAACTTACATAGAAAACGGATAATTTTTATATTCCACCCCCTGCAATTATGATACAATTAGAGAAAAGTGTTAGAGGTGTACTTAGTGTTGGTAGTAATGTTTGAATGGCAAGATAAGGAAGACACATTAGGGTTCTCCTGGGCAACAAAACTCTCTCTCTGTGTGTGTGTGTGTGTGTGTGTGTGTGTAGATGCACCATCCCTCCCCAAGATGGGCAAAAACAGAGAAACAGCACTGACTTTAAAAAACAGAAGTTGTGAGTTGTTTTTTTTTTTTATCTATTAGTCCTTTTCTTTTTTTATAGTTCAAAATTTCAAAAAATTTTGAATAAGAAATCTCTGAAAAATACTTTTTGTTGAAGGTGGTAGCAGTGGTCCACTTATGTACGTCATGGGAGGTGTACACATGCCACAGCACACACGTAGATGTCAAAGGACAACTTGCAGAAGTCCGTGCTCTTTCACTCTCTAGGTCCCATTCATCAAACTCAGATCAGGCTTGGTGGCAAGTGTCTTTCCCGTGAAGCTATCTCCTAGCCCTGTCCTTCAGTTTTTATTTTTAGCTACAATGTCCATCCTTCAACTGAGTTAAACCTAGCATGCCTTATGAGAAAGAGCTGCAAGTTTTTAATATATCCAGTACTTCCTGAGAACATGTGAGCAATGCTTGCTCCCTATTCTGAAATGACTTTCTGCCTTTGTCAAAAGCTAATGGATCAGGGAAGCATAGATCTACTTCTAGAAGGCACACAGTTCCAGACTTGTGTCTGTCTTTATGCCAAAATCACTCTGACTTCAACATCTCAACTACTGTGATGTCTTACTTTGTAGGTCTGCTGCAGTTAAAATTTTTAAACCCATTTTTCATAAACTACTACCCTGCCCCCACCATAAGCCAAAACAAAGGTATTGGACTTGGTGAGGCATCTGGAGGTGGAGACCTGAGATCTTCTTAAGGATTTCCACCCATGAGTATGGTATCTGTCCCACCGCCCCCGCTTGTCTGTTAATTTCTCTCAGCAGTGTATTTAGTTTTCACTGAGTTTCAGAGTCTTTTGTCAAGTGTATTCCTAAGATTCTCCGACACTATTATCCTATGATCCTAACACGTGAGAGGCTCGTGCAAGAAGTTCACTCGTTTTACTAGATATACTGAATTCCCTTCAGTATTTCTCAAGCGTTCCATGCTAGGGACTGAACCCAAAGCCCTGCACATGCTAAGCACACTCTCTGCCACTGAGGTACACCACAACCCCTGATGAATTTTAATTCTTACCTTTTTCTTTTTGTCCTATGGCACTGTCTACAAATCCATTAGATATTTAGAAAAGTTGCCATCCTGAATTGAAGATGGAAGAACTGGTGCATTCACCAAGAGAGGTGTTACTTGCCTTCCTTTAGTTTCCTAAGCACTGGATAAATGTGCTAACGAGTTTGATTTTGTGGTTTTAAGCAGACAGTTACTAGTGAGACTACATGGAGTAAGCTGCACTGTGTGCAGCATATCTGAATGAACTCTGCATTGGTGGGAAGAGTCTAGACTTCAGACTTCTGTGTTCACTGTTCCCTGTTTAAAGCACTATTGCATTTGTATTTAATATATTTTGACCAAAAGCAATTGGCAAAAGTCTTCTGAACAGGTTTCCATAGTAAGCCTGTCAGCTTCTCAGGCCACATAACTACCTGCCCTCAGAACAGAGTTAGAGGTAATGGGAAAACAAACTGTTTTTACTATAGCTGTATCTAAAACAACTGTACTTTGATTTAGCCTTTCTACCACAGGTGGCTAAGCCCAGTCCCAAGAAAAAGAGCTTTCAGGACCAAGGCCACCCTTCACATTTACGTAGTAGCTGGTGGTTTTGAGGGTTAATCTCCTCCACCCCTGTTTGCAACCACAGGTCCCAAAGTCAGTTTGAGGAGCATTCCTTTCCTGATTAGCTCCCAGCAAGAGGACTTCCTCAAGTTCTTCCAATCTCTATGCAGCAAACATGGCAGAGTTTGTGAAGTGGTCAGGCTGAGGGACTACGTGGCAGAGCTGTGTCACAGGACAGGTCTTTCCAAAGGAATAGTCTCCATTTACAAACAGGAAGCATGTTCAACTGTCCTATCAGGACATGCTGACGTGTTTACCAGGGGTTGTCTGGCATTAGAACCTCTGGATGGGACCCCATCTGGCCCAACCAAGTGGTCTAGGCACACACTAAAGGTAAAGGCACAAGACATACCGCTGCAGACCAGTATTCAATTGAAGCCTGTAGTCTTCACAATATCCACAGCAGACTTCATGCTATATACTTTATTAAACTACCTCACAAACGCTAGAAACTAAAATTCACTCAACTGAACTGTAACAATCTATTTACAGAGTACTGCCTACGATCCATCAGTGCTGAACCTGGTTCTTCCCCAGGCATGAAGCTCATCCTTCAAACAAGTCTGTGAATACCTGTCAAACAGAGGACACTGATATCCACCTGAACAATGGCATGTCAGACAGAAGGGCCCCAGCCCAACACAGAAACAGACAGAGAAACAAACAGAAAGACACACATGGGCCCTGTACTGCAAAAAGGTTGAGGGCCTGCCTCATGGCTTCTTCAGACTATAGGCTAGTCCCCACTGCTGGAGACCATGGTGGCTTTCAGGGGCGGTGAGTTCCAAACAGCAGAGCTAGTGCGCTTGTGGTAGCGAGTCTTCCTCTTCTTAAAGATGTCCTCCAAGTCCAGCGGGAGAATAGATCCGAAGAGCTCTAGAATGTTTGGGGGGTGGTAGTACTGGTGGACAATGGCCTGGCTGAGTTGGGTGCCTGAAGAAAGCAGAGGCCTGGATCACTGCTTGGTGCTCTCTGGGAGCATCCCTGAACCCTACACCAACCCACAGAGCCCAGCCATCCTTTCCACATCAGCATGCCGTGCTCCTACACTATCTGCTCCTCTAGTGGCCTCCTGCCCACCTCCACCTAACGATTTTCCTCTTATCTCCATCTTCTAGCAGCTGAACCCAAACAAAGGCCCCCAGGAGTTGTCTTAGGCAATACTTTATTCTTCCTATTTTGTAGTATGAGACTTGTCTCAAGGCACATGGTAGATAAATGGCAGAGCTAAGTGTGAAGACAAGCCTCTCTCCAGATCTTAAGCCTCCTTGCCTGGCTACTCCACCAACCTCAAAGACTTTAAGGAACAGCACACAGGCTAAAGGAGCAGAGCTGTGGGAGTCACAGTCCCACCAACCAGGCTGCAGAGGGCCCTAGAGGGTCAGGAGGGAACACACGTCCAGGGCTTGCTTCCTAAATTACTTCACTGATAATCATCTCAGTTAGGTCCTACTATCACTGACTCCCTCTTCATAGATACAAAAACTAAGTCATCTATCTGAGGTCAATTACCATCAGGCAACTTTGCTGACCACACTGGCCCCTGCTTGCTGTTCTCAAGTGAGTTGACATGAGTCAGTCATCAGTGACTTAGTAAAGTAAGATTCTGGTTATGGTGGGGTCCAAACAAGGTCAGTCACAAAAGCAAGTTGCCTTTCTGTCAAGTGCTGACCTGCTGTGGGATTTAGGACCATTCTTCTAAGGTCAACACCTTGTGCTAACCTACAGTTCAGCAAATCCAAAGAAGCACTCTAGCAGGCCCTCATGCCCAGGCCAGAGACAGCATCAAACCCATCCACATCCTGTATAAATCTGAGACCCCCCCAAGACTCAAGGCAAATCTTGCTCAAGCACCAATGCCCTTGCTCGTGATCTTTCCTAGTTCTAACATTCCAACCAAACCCTGCTACCCTCTCAGTTGTATGTCCACCCATGGGTGCTTACTTGGGACCAAGCCTCTTGAGCCCTGCTGGGCCAGACTCTGAGGAGAGGACTTTTGAGTCCATGTCAGATTACTTAGCAGCATGTTTTGCTTGAACCAGACACAGCTACATTCAACAAGAACAAAGGAACTCAACACCCTTCATCCTATTTCCTCAAATGGGTTGGGCAGTGGTGGTGCACACCTTTAGTCCCAGTACTTGGGAGGCAGAGGCAGGCGGATTTCTGTTTGAGGCCAGCCTGGTCTACAGAGTGAGTTCCAGGACAGCCAGGGCTACACAGAGAAACCCTGTCTCAAAAAACAAACAAACAAACAAACAAACAAACAAAACCTATATCCTCAGATGGGTCTTCAGGCCAGAGTAAGCCTCCTACCTCCAGGTGCATGCTCAAAGCCATAAGTCCTCAGGTCAATGCTACAAGCCACTGGGCCCTAGCATGTCAGCACATCAGCGTGTACACCTGCAGCAGTTAAGCTACCACTTCCACATCACACAAAGGTGAGGAAGAGAGGCAGCCCAAGCCTCTTCATGAACTCTGGGCCCCACTCACCTTTGGCCCAGGAAGGGATGGGTTTCCGGGGATGGGCCTCATCATCTGTGGAGTCATCACTATTTAAGTCCATCCCATAGTCATCTACGTTGATCTTGGGGACGGATTTGGGTCCTTGTGGAGTCATTTGATATGAGGTACAAACAGGAGACTAGAAGAAAATCAACAAGGTCATTAGCTTCCCTTCCCTGCATTCCTGGAGGACACTGACACTCTGGCCATCTCCCGTCACTTCTCAAGGAGAATAGAAAGGTTTAGGGTCACTTTGTCATTTCAATAAGTCAGGGAATATAAGCCACTTTGTATCACGCAAGCTTTCTTTCCTATTGGCATTTCCCTCCCTCAGTGATGCTTCAAGACACATCATGATCTTCAACTAGCTTTCTACTATGGATGGTCGGTCCCTTAATCCCTACAACTGGGAGGGTAAGGTAAAAGGATTACAAATGAGGCTAGCCTAGGATAGACAACCAGACCCTACCATCAAAGAGAAAGAAGAAAAAAAGAAACAAACACAAGTGACTCGCTCTCTTTCTTCAGACTCTAACACAGCCTGAGTTTGTAGACAAATGAAGAGTGGTGTCAGAGCCCCTCCCGACAAGGGCACAGGCCTCACCTGCACATCCACAGTCATGTTCAGGACTTTGTTGGCTGCTGCCGCCTCCTTAGCTTTCTTTGCCTGCTCCTCCTGCAGTTGCTGCTCAGCCAGACGCTGCTGCTCTTCCTGGGACCCAGGCAGCAACAAGATTAGGTGTGTCCTTCCTCTCCTCTTGACACACTGCTACCCCATGTGGCAAGGCAGAGCTGCCTGAAGAGTATAGCCCAGGTTTCCAGCTCTCAGCTCTCAGCTCAGCATAGAATCCATATGGGGCCCATTTTTCCAACATCCCTACCTTCCGCTTCTTTTCCTCCAGTTCCTTCTGAAGTCGTTCCTTTTGGAGCCGCAGGGCTTTCTCTCTCTCCTGCATCTCCCTGAGGATCACCAAGAATCTGTCAGGCCAGTAGTGGGGTTCAGCCCTGTTCCCACCCCACAAAGGGAAACTAGGCTTGGTTGACATGCCTTTAGGGAATGGGACATCAACTTAGAGCCAACAGCTGGATTCTCCAAAACCAAGCACCAGAGCCTGACTTTGCTGTCAAATAGCATACAGGACCTCCCCCATGCACATGAGGTCCACAAACCTCACCCTTCTCTTTTTCACAATAGGAAGATTAATACCTCTCCTCCAGCCTTGCTATGACTACTGCACGAGAGAGACAACACAGAACACTCAGCTCCACCCACAGTGAGGAGGGGTCAGGTCTACAGTCAGGAGCTTGACCTTAAACAAGTCATTTAGCCTCACTCTCTAACCAGATTCCTTTGTAAAGCTGATTGTCTCTATGCCACAAGAGCTTCAAGTAAGAATTAAATAAACCGCTTCCGCCCCTGCCTGGTCCTTTGGGCTGGAGCAGACACAGAGTCGGTCTGCTCCTGTCCTGTGGAGAAACTGAATCCTGAGTCATCAAGGAGCCACTGCACTCAGAGCAGCTGGTAAGAACTCCATCTCACTCCCTAAGCCCCAGAAATACATCTGGGAGCCAGGGACATCTAGGGCACAGCAGCTACCCAAACCCTGCCCCTCCGGAATTCCACTTCCCTTCGGCCCCTGCCTGGTCCCTGGGACTGGAGCAGACACAGAGTAGGTCTGCTCCTGTCCTGTGGAGAAACTGAATCCTGAGTCATCTAGGAGCCACTACACTCAGAGCAACTGAAACTGAATTCTGAGTCATCAGGGACCCACTGCACTCAGAGCAGCTGGAGCCACTGCACTCAGAGCAGCTGAAACTGAATCCTGAGTCATCGAGAACCCACTGCACTCAGAGCAGCCGAGGAGCCACTGCACTCAGAACAGAAGGATTACCAGATCCAAGAGGTGGCCTGAGTCCCAGGAGTTCTTCCACCCGGGAGATTAGGGGCATAAGACCACAGAGACCTCTGGACTCCGAGGAGCTCTGCAATAAGCAAGATAACTGGAAATACAGATTCCAATCTTACACAGAGAGGGCAGGTACCACTAGAGCTAACCAGATGGCGAAAGGCAAGCGCAAGAACATAAGCAACGGAAACCAAAGTTTCTTGGCATCATCAGTGCCCAATTCTCCCAATATAGCAAGCCCTGAACACCCCATCACACCTGAAAAGCAGGATTCAGAATTAAAATCACTTCTCATGATGATGATAGAGGATTATAAGAAGGAATTAAGTAACTCCCTTAAAGAAATACAGGAGAGTACAAGTAAACAGATAGAAGCCCTTAAAGAGGAATCACAGAAATCCCTTAAAGAAATGCAAGAAAACACAAAGAAGGAATTAAACAAAAACATTCAGGATCTGAAACTGGAAATAGAAACAATAAAGAAAGTTCAAAGGGAGACAACCATGGAGATAGAAAACCTAAGAAAGAGATCAGGAGTCATAGACGCAAGCATCACCAACCGAATACAAGAGATAGAAGAGAGAATCTCGAATGCAAAAGATACGGTGGAAAATATCGACACAGTTGTCAAAGAAAATGCAAAATGCAAAAAACTCCTAACTCAAAACATCCAGGAAATACAGGACACAATGAGAAGCCCAAACCTAAGGATAATAGGTATAGATGAGAATGAAGATTCCCAACTTAAAGGGCCAGTAAATATCTTCAACAAAATTATTGAGGAAAACTTCCCTAACCTAATGAACAAGATGCCCATAAACGTACAAGAAGCCTACAGAACACCAAATAGACTAGACCAGAAAAGAAATACCTCCCGTCACATAATAATCAAAACATCAGATGCACAAAACAAAGAAAAAATACTAAAAGCAGTAAGGGAAAAAGGTCAAGTAACATATAAAGGCAGACCTATAAGAATTACACCAGACTTCTCACCAGAGACTATAAAAGCCAGAAGAGCCTGGACTGACATCATACAGACACTAAGAGAACACAATTGCCAGCCCAGATTACTATACCCAGCAAAACTCTCAATCACTATAGATGGTGAAACCAAGATATTCCATGACAAAACCAAATTTGCACAATATCTTCCCACAAACCCAGCACTTCAAAGGATAATTGATTGAAAATGCCAACACAAGGAGGGAAACTAAAACCTAGAAAAAGCAAGGAAGTAATCTTCCAACAACCCCAAAAGAAGATAACTATACAAACATAACTTTACCTCTAATAACAAAAATAACAAGAAGCCACAATCATTTTTCCTTAATATCTCTTAACATCAATGGTCTCAATTCCCCAATAAAAAGACACAGACTATCAGACTGGATACACAAACAAGACCCAGAATTTTGCTGCATACAAGAAATGCACCTCAGTGACAAAGACAGACACTACCTCAGAATAAAAGGGTGGAAAACAATTTTCCAAGCCAATGGTCCCAAGAAACAAGCTAGAGTAGCCATTCTAATATCAAATAAAATCGACTTTCATCCAAAATTAATCAAAAAAGATAAGGAAGGACACTTCATACTCAAAGGAAAAATCTACCAAGGTAAACTCTCAATTCTGAACATCTATGCTCCAAATGCAAGGGCACCTACATACATAAAAGAAACTTTACTAAAGCTCAAAACACACATTAAACCTCACACAATAATAGTGGGGGATTTCAACACCCCACTCTCAGCAATGGACAGATCATGGAAACAGAAACTAAACCGAGACACTTTGACATTAACAGAAGTTATGAACCGAATGGACTTAACAGACATCTATAGAACATTTCATCCTAAAACAAAAGAATATACCTTTTTCTCAGCACCTCATGGTACCTTCTCCAAAATAGACCATATAACTGGTCACAAAACTAGCCTCTACAGATACAAAAAGATTGAAATAATCCCTTGCATCTTATCAGATCACCATGGACTAAGACTGGTCTTTAATAATGACAAAACCAATGGAAAACCCACGTGCACATGGAAACTGAACAGCTCTCTACTCAATGATGACTTGGTCAAGGAAGAAATAAAGAAAGAAATAAAAGACTTTTTAGAATTCAATGAAAATGAGGACACATCATACCAAAACTTGTGGGACTCCATGAAGGCAGTGATAAGAGGAAAACTCATAGCTCTAAGTGCCTACAAAAAGAAACTGGAAGGAGCACACACTAACAACTTGACTGCACAACTAAAAGCTCTAGAACAAAAAGAAGCAAATACACCCAGGAGGAGTAGAAGGCAGGAAATAATCAAACTCAGGGCTGAAATCAACCAAATAGAAACAGAAAGAACAATACAAAATATCAATAAAACCAGGAGCTGGTTCTTTGAGAAAATCAACAAGATAGATAAACCATTAGCCAAATTAACCAGAGGGCACAGAGACAGTACCCAAATTAATAAGATCAGAACTGAAAAGGGAGACATAACAGAAACTGAAGAAATTCAAAAAATCATCAGATCCTACTACAAAGGCCTATACTCAACAAAACTGGAAAACCTGGATGAAATGGACAATTTCCTAGACAGATACCAGGTACCGAAGTTAAACCAGGAGCAGATAAACCATCTAAATAGTCCCATAACCCCTCAGGAAATAGCAGCAGTCATTAAAAGTCTTCCCACTAAAAAAAGACCAGGACCAGATGGGTTTAGTGCTGAATTCTATCAGACCTTCAAGGAAGACCTAATACCAATTCTCTTCAAACTATTCGACAAAATAGAGACAGAAGGAACACTACCCAATTCGTTCTATAAAGCTACAATTACACTCATACCCAAAGCCCACAAGGACCCGACAAAGAAAGAGAACTTCAGACCAATATCCCTTATGAACACTGATGCAAAAATACTCAATAAAATTCTAGCAAACCAAATCCAAGAACACATCAAAACAATCATCAATCATGATCAAGTAGGTTTTAGCCCAGGAATGCAGGGATGGTTCAATATTCGGAAATCCATCAATGTAATTCACTATATAAACAAACTCAAAGAAAAACACCACATGATCATCTCACTAGATGCTGAGAAAGCATTTGACAAAATTCTACATCCCTTCATGATAAAAGTCTTGGAAAGATCAGGAATTCAAGGCCCATACCTAAACATAGTAAAAGCAATTTACAGCAAACCAGTAGCCAACATCAAGCTAAATGGAGAGAAACTTGAAGCAATCCCACTAAGATCAGGGACTAGACAAGGCTGCCCACTCTCCCCCTACCTATTCAATATAGTACTGGAAGTCCTGGCCAGAGCAATTAGACAGCAAAAAGAAGTCAAAGGGATACAAATAGGAAAGGAAGAAGTCAAAATATCGCTATTTGCAGATGATATGATAGTATACTTAAGTGACCCCCAAACTTCCACCAGAGAACTCCTAAACCTGATAAACAACTTCAGCAAAGTGGCTGGTTATAAAATCAACTCAAACAAATCAGTAGCCTTCCTCTACATGAAAGATAAACAGACTGAAAAAGAAATTAGGGAAATGACACCCTTCACAATAGTTGCAAATAATATAAAATACCTTGGTGTGAATCTAACCAAGCAAGTGAAAGACCTGTATGACAAGAACTTCAAGTCCCTGGAGAAAGAAATCGAAGAAGATCTCAGAAGATGGAAAGATCTCCCATGCTCATGGATTGGCAGGATTAATATAATAAAAATGGCCATCTTGCCAAAAGCAATCTACAGATTCAATGCAATCCCCATTAAAATCCCAACTCAATTCTTCACAGAGTAAGAAAAGGAAATTCTCAAATTCATATGGAATAACAAAAAACCCAGGATAGCGAAAACTATTCTCAACAATAAAAGAACTTCGTGAGGAATCACCATCCCTGACCTCAAGCTGTACTACAGAGCAATAGTGATAAAAACTACCTGGTATTGGTACAGAGACAGGCAGGAAGATCAATGGAATAGAATTGAAGACCCAGAAATGAACCCACACTCCTATGGTCACTTGATCTTTGACAAAGGAGCTAAAACTGTACAGTGGAAAAAGGACAGCATTTTCAACAAATGGTGCTGGTTCAACTGGTGGACAACATGTAGAAGAATGAAAATTGATCCATTCTTATCCCCTTGTACAAAGCTCAAGTCTAAGTGGATAAAGGACCTCCACATAAAATCAGATACACTGAAACTAATAGAAGAGAAGGTGGGGAAGAGCCTCGAATACTTGGGCACAGGGGAAAAGTTCCTGAACAGAACTCCAATGGCATATGCTCTAAGATCAAGAATTGACAAATGGGACTTCATAAAATTACAGAGTTTCTGTAAGGCAAAGGACACTGTCAACAGGACAAAACGACAACCAACAAATTGGGAAAAGATCTTTACCAATCCTTCATCTGATAGAGGGCTAATATCCAATATATACAAAGAACTCAAGAAATTAGACTCCAGACAACCAAATTACCCTATTAAAAAATGGGGTATAGAGCTTAACAAAGAATTTTCAACGGAAGAAACTCGAATGGCCGAGAAGCACCTAAAGAAATGCTCAGCATCCTTAGTCGTCAGGGAAATGGAAATCAAAACAACCCTGAGATTCCATCTCACACCAGTCAGAATGGCTAAGATTAAAAACTCAGGTGATAGTAGATGCTGGCGAGGGTGTGGAGAAAGAGGAACACTCCTCCATTGTTGGTGGGACTGCAAGATGGTGCAACCACTTTGGAAATCAGTCTGGCGGTTCCTCAGAAAACTGGAGATAGGATTACCTGAGGATCCAGCTATACCACTCCTAGGCATATACCCAGAAGATGCTCGAACATATAACAAGGACATATGCTCAACTATGTTCATAGCAGCCTTGTTTATAATAGCCAGGAGCTGGAAAGAACCCAGATGTCCTTCAACTGAGGAATGGATTCTAAAAATGTGGTATATTTACACAATGGAGTATTACTCAGCTATTAAAAACAATGAATTCGAGACTTTACTAGGTAAATGGATGGAACTAGCAATTATCATCCTGAGTGAAGTAAGCCAATCACAAAAGAACACACATGGTATTCACTCACTGATTATTGGATATTAGCTCAGAACCTTGAAATGCCCAAGATGCAACTCACAGGCCACATGAAGCCCATAAAGAAGGAAGACCAAGTGGGGGTGATTCGGTCCTTCTTAGAAGAATTCTCCCCTTGATCTACATTCTTGTAGTTCCTGCCTGCTGCAGAGAGTTGAAGGATTCCCCAAGGACTGACATTATTGCTTTCCCGGTATTGACGTCTGCTTCTCACTGCCCAGTGGAAGCTGGGAGGTCCTGGCTTCATTTGCTCACTGGCAGCCATTTTGCCCGGCCAAGTCATAGTTAACTACCAGTTTGCAAGGGTGGATGCTGAAGCCACCCAGCACTAGGAGGAGGGTTCACTCACCGTATGCCATGAGGGGAGCTCCGTTCCAAGGAGCAACAAAATACTCAAGGGAGCAAATATGGAGACAAAGTGAGGGACAGAAACTGAAGGAAGGGCCATCTCAAGACCACTCCACCTGAGTATCTATCCCATGTGCATCTACCAAAGGTAGATGCTGATGTGGAAGTCAGGAAGTGCATGCTGATAAGAGCCTGATATGGATATCTCCTCAGAGGTCTTCAAGAGTCTGACATACTCAGAGGCAGATGCTCACAACTAGCCATTGAACTGATCATGGAGTTCTCAATAGAGGAGTTAGAGTGAAGACTGAAGGAGAGCTGAAAGGATTTGTGGCACCATTAGGAGAGCAACAATACCAACCAACCACAACTCCCAGGGTCTAAACCACCAGCCTGGGAGCACTTAGGGAGGGATCCAGCGCTTCAGTTGAATATGTAAGAGTGGAGGGCCCTGCTGGGCATAGGTGGAAGTAGAGAACCTTGACCGCATGAAGGCTGGATGCCCCAGGGGGTGGGAATTTTGAGGGTGGGGAGGTGGGAGTGGGGGGGGTAGATAGAGGTTACATCCACAGAGAAGAAGGAGGAGGGGTGAGGGGATTGGGGGTTCCTGGGTGGGTGGGGATGGGGTAAGAGGACAACATAGGAAATGTAAATAAAACATCCAATAAAAATTTTTAAAAAAAGGATTAAATAAACCTACAGAGCAGGTAGCTCAGAGCAACCCTCAGAGCTACCAACCAAATACCCCATCACTCCTCAGGGGTAATACACCTCTGACCACCCAGCTCTGAAGCCACAATAGCAGCCACCACCCACTCCCTCCCAGACTCTTATCTCTGATTTTACCCAGAAAGACCAGGGGCACTTTTGCATCAATCTACATGTGCCCAATACTGTCCTGAGATCCCAGCCCTCTACCTGAAGTCCTCAGTTCTCCATTAAGTCTGTACCCATCTCAGGAGTTGGGAAGGAAGAGGAAACAGTTGCTGGGCCTGTTGGTCTGCACACATATGTGGGCACAGTCCTAATAAATGTCAGTGAAGGGAAAACCTCACCGGATTGTCATCACTACCAAGGGAAACACAGGGGCTAGGTGCTCAATGTCCTATACCGCAATACAAATGTCTCTCATGCCCAGGATGCCTGGGGCAGGCCCATTGAGAAGTACTATCCATCTAAGACCCTCTCACTTTACTGTATCCACTGAGAAAAAGACACCAAAGGAGTCACAGCACATTCTGCTGAAGCAGAACAAAACATGCGAGTGACCCTGAGCTATTACCCCTTGAATCTCCCACAACTAACATATATCCTATTTGGTGGTCCACCAGCTGTAGGCATGTGGTTTTGAAGAGAAGAGAAAGCCTGCCAACCTTCAAGTAAACAGATGTCAAGAAGCAGCCGCAATGGTCATGTTGTCTGTCACTCCCGACACAGGACAGTAATAAATGCCCAGCAGGTGGCCTCACCTCTTGGCTCGAAGACGTTCCTGCTCCCTCCGTTCCTGCTCCTTCCGTTCCTGCTCCCTCCGTTCCTGCTCCTTCCGTTCCTGCTCCCTCCGCCGCTCTTGCTCACGCTGTTCTGCCAGCCGCCTGACCTCAGCTGCTTTGCGGCGCTCCTGTTCTTCCTCCTTCTTCCGCTGTAGCATTTCTTGATGCCGCCGCTCCTCTTCCTCCTAAGTTGGCAATGCATGGAAATGCAGAACACTCAAGCCAGGCTGGGGCCCATAGGGAGAAAGCTAGCCAAGGAGCTGCTCCTGCCCATACCCCTCCTAAGGCACTGGCCACCACCATGACATCATCTAGGACTGAGCCGCCAGACTCCTTGACAAGTAAAGTTTTGAAAGTCATAGGCAGACAGAAAAGGTATCTGGTTGGGGCTGGCGAGATGGTTCAATGGTTAAGAGCACTGACTGCTCTTCCAGAGGTCCGGAGTTCAATTCCCAGCAGCCAGATGGTGGTTCACAACCATCTGTAATGGGATCCAATGCCCTCTTCTGGTGTGTCTGAAGAGAGCTACAGTGTCCTCACATGCATAAAATAAATAAATCTTATTAAAGAAAAAAGAAAAGGCATCTGGCAACAGCTTCAACAGAACTGACAAGCAAGAGGGGACCTTGGAGAACTAGCTATGTACAATAGACAAGCCATCTGACCCAATGGTCAATTTCTCATCTGTAAAACAGGAAAGACAGCAGCATGTGCATCTCAAGGAGCTGCTGAGTTAACACACATTAAAACTTAAGAAGTGTCTGTGAGAGCATAAATACACCATACTGATTAGTTCTAGAACACCCCTATAGTATTAAGACCGGCAGTTCCAGAGAGAGATGGGGCCCTACTCTTCCAAGCATAAGGCTCAAGGGTGGAGAGTTAAGTACAATCGCCTGCTGGACATTCAGCATATACCAGGCACAACATGCTTCATATGATGCATTAGTGAATCTTGCTTTCAACTATCAGCAAGACCACTCTGTTATTTGAGTAACCTGACCAAGGTCACACAGCTAAGAAATAGCAGATGTGAAGTGAAGCTTTACTCCAGAAGCACATTTAATCTTCAAACTTTGGCTTCTAGAAAAGTCCCCATGACACAACCCTCAAGTCAGCAACAAGATCCAATAGGATCTACTCTACAGAATGGGCATGCCCAGCCAGTCCTCATGGCATGGAAGCAGTGCCTGTCCCACCCTACTTTCCTGTCCCCACCTAATCGCACCTGTTGGAGCCACCTGAGCCTGCGTGCCTCCTCCTCCTGCTTCCTGCGTGCTTCTACCTCTTCCATCTTCTTGGCAGTTGTCTTCTTCTTTGCCTTCTCTGCCAGCCGCTCCTCCTTAGCCTGCAGAATCCACTCACATGTGTCCTCTGGAGCAGCCTCTCACTCAGCATGCAGCATGGAGCCTAGAGCTCTGTGATAGGCACCCCTATTCCCCTACAAACCCTGCCCAGAACTCAGGGAAAAGGCACAAGAAGCCATACCACCTCAGGACTACTCACTCATGAAAGGGTTGCTGGGATAAAAGGGTTAGGCTAGACTTCCAGCATTCAACTTGCCTCAAAAAAGATCAAAGCCCATGAGACAGAAAGCAGGGGTACACAGGCTATCCAGCCAATAACTTACGGAGGAGACCAGGCTGCCAAGCCTAAAGTGTTAGGCCTCCGCTAAGGCTCCACCCACTGGGCCCATCAGCCCAGACTCACCTTTTCTGTCTTCTCATCAATCTGAGCAAACTTCTGCTCAATCTGCTTCTTCTTTTCCTCCTTCATCTGTTCCACCCGCTCACGGGCCTGCAACACCTTGCGGAGGCGCTCTTCACGCTTCCTGTGGACACAGCACAGTCAAGGAGAGCCTACATAGGCTGGGGCACGCTGGGCTGGGAGCTAGGACACTTACAGCTTCACCTCCTCCAGTCGCCGCCGCTTGTCTTCCTCTACCTTCTGCCTGCGCAGCTGTTCGGCCTCCTCCTTCCGTCGCAGGCTCTCTAGGCGCTGGCGTTCCTTCTCCTGAAAAGGGCAGGGTAGCCACTGGGATGTGAATAAAGACACACACCAACCCCAAAGGTTGCCTGGCAGCATGCACCAATCTCAACCAGACACAGCAGCAGACACCTCTCAGGCAGACATCCAAGCATACCCTGTGACCACCCTAGGCAAGCATAGGCATCCAGTTTCTCCTTCAGGTAGACAGAGTGCCTCCCATGAACCTGACTTGTAGGCAACACACACACACACAAAAAAACCAGCCTCAAACTAGATGTGTGTTAATTATAATTATATAAACAGCTTGAAAAGTGACTAAATGTAGGACCTCGTCCAGCCCCGCCATCCTGCTGGGTACCGCCACTGCAGAAGGGAAACACAGGGAGCTTGATTGTACTTATCCCAAGCTGCAGCCCATAGGGTGCTGGGCTTTAGGGGAGCACCAAGACAACACTCCAGGGATGGGAAAACGCAGTCCCAGATGTGGGAAACCGAAGCTGGTATTCCCTGACCCCTAGGCATCTAATCATCGCTAGAAAACCACACAGAGAAGTTGAAAACGAAGTGTCAGGGATCCACTGGCCCTCAATGAGGCGAGGCCAGGACCACTGGGGGCCCTCAGGCTACGGATAGCATCTAGCCCAGGGCCTGAGCTTGGACTGGGAGCTCCAGCTTAGCTCATTGGCAAAGGTAGCAGCTGTTGTCTGGAAGCACAGAAAGGCCTTCTATGGGAGACTTGGGCTGTGGTTCTGTAAGTGAAGGCCTTCTCCATGCTCCCTATGGCAGTGGTGGATGAAAGAGACAGCCCTTTGTTCCAAACTGTTTATTGGTTGTTCATCATGGAAAATGGATGTGTACCAACTTCTCACAGTGGTCCAGAAATTAAATACCTTTTGCAGGGAGGAATGTCCTGGAAGAGACACTTATTGGCTAAACCCTCAGGGCCTCTTGGTACCTTACTAGCATAGAGAACTCTTGTTATGTGAGAGTGTGGCACATGTTCCAGGCCAGGAATCTGGCAGGCAGCAGGGAGCCCCTACCGTCTCAGATGTGTACCTGAATTTTCAGGGACTCAGACCCGATCTACCTTAACAAGTTTCCTGGTAGGTCCACTGTCCCATAAGTAAAGACTACGACTGCAAAGAAAATGGCAGGCAACATAGAAAGTGTCAGTTAATGTTCAATTTGGAAGGGCAAGATGAAGGAGCGGCCATTCATTACTTTCTAGGAGTGTAAATATGTACCACTCTTTTATGCACATTAACTCTTAGAACAGTCTAAAAAAATACAGTACCATCAAATGTTAACACAGTGACACAGGCTAGTGAGCTACATCAAAATGGTATATCTTATCCTTTAGTTTCCAAATATCTTGTGATATGCCTGTTTTAATTTTTAAAACACCATCAGAGGACAGCTAGCTGTACAGCAGATCAGTGCTGACATCACTTTCCAGGCAGACCCAGAAAGCCCCATAGGGACATAGGCACAGCTGTATGCAACAGCAAAGACGAGGGGAGGCTCCAAACTGTCCCTTGCCAAGGATCAGACTAATGCTTTCCAGCACCCACATGGTGGCTTACAACTCTCTGTAGTTCCAATTCCACGGGATCTGATGCCCTCTCTGGACTCCCTGGGTACCAAGTATGCAAGTGCTACATTATATACAGACATAAATGCAGATAAAACACCCATACACATTGTGTATGTGTGTGTGTGTGTATGTGTGTGTATGTGTGTGTGTGTAATAAAAGACTGCCAAAAATTTTTAAAAGACAAGTACGGAGTACAGAACTAAACAGATAGATAGTATAAGTAAAAAACTGTTCTAGGCAGAGGGCCGAACAGAAAGACAGTCTAAACCAGGTGTGTTCAGATGATATAAAGTTATATTGCCTTGGGTTCTGTCTAACGTGGGACCCAGGGAATTCTGGGTTCATTTCCTGCTTGACAAAATAGGGAAGGCCTAAAGAATAGGCACATACAGTATTTTAATTATTAAATTGATTTTATTTTCAAGATGGGTGTGATTTTCAGTTTTGTGGTTATATTTTTCCTCTGGGAAAGAGGTCAAGATAAAGGTTTTTCTGGTTACTGGCCCAAGGATAAGCTGTTTTGAGAAAACGGTTGTCTGTTTTCAGAAGAGACGATTAAGATATTTCTACCTCCCAAAATTATATGGATTAGACATGACAGAGGCAGGCCGCAAGAAGACTAGATTCCAGAACTCAAATAAAAAATTGTCTTGATACTAAAATTTGTTTTGAGAATTGAATATTGCAGAATACACAGCCTTGCTGTATCTATTCATCAAGCAAGCTGAGCAGATCTGCATGAACCTCTTATGTCCTGGCATTTCAGCTAGACGCAGTAAAGACACAGACATCAGAGGCTTATCAATTTACCCTTCCCCTTGCCTCTCTTCTAATATCTTAATGCCCAAATTCAGCTTGAAGAAGTTAATGAAGAGTCAGCACCCCTATTCCATGGGCTTGGGGACTGAAGTGGTTAATATTAGGCTGTCTTTCTAGGGAAAAGTAATGGTTTTACTGGAACAGGGAGGAATAGTTAGAAATGATTACTTAGCCATAACCTATTTGGCAGAAATCCGTATAACTGTTATTAAGCTAAAGCTGAATTTCTTAAATGGTACAAAATTTATTTTGATTTCAAATTCAAGGGTTTCATTGGTATATTTTCTTCGATTAAGTCAAAATTGGTGGGTACAAGGCTTAGACCCAGTCCTTCTTTAATTTTTTTTTTTTGACTGATCTGAGATGGTTAGCCTGTGAGTTAAGGGCCTATAGCAAATTCATGGCTCTGAGTTTATTGTTAGGCTGTTTTCTAGATTTTAATTAGAAATAGCTGAGAGGTATTAACGGACAACAGTCCAGATTGCTTTACATAGATAATTGGTTTTCCAAAACGTCAGAAATCCACAGAACTGACATTACAAACATTTCTGTATTAATGTTCATTTTGATTAGAGACCTGTCTGCTCCTGACAGCTTCCTGTCTTGGATTCTAAGAAGAAATTGAGCATCTTTGAAGTTACTCCAGTTGTGGTAAGACAGCCACTAGGCAAGAATTGCCTCTTTTCATCTACAGACAATATACTGTCCAGAAAAAGGACACACATGCGGAATAGTCGATTGATTATATCTGCCAAGACAGAGTGATCAACCCTTAAAAATTCTGCATCACTAGGTCTGTCAGATGATCATGGGCCAGAAGGCTGAAGACCAGATGCTCCAAAGTTTTGAAGTATAGGGACTTTCCAGGTTATTAGTGGTCTCTATAAATTGGCTAAGCTTTGGAAGCTGTGCTTTGTGCTTCCCATATCTTCAGTTAATTCAGTCATTCTGGATTTCTGATGGGGTTGAAAATGTATAGTCTCATAGCCAACCCAGGCTATTTACTTTGGGAGAGTGATTTTGAGAGGATGGTTTTCAGCTGATATTCATTCTGAAGCCAGGACATAAGCCAGGTTCAGAACTAAATCTTTTAGTTAGGAGAGATGCCAGAGGTTCTGTTTAGTTAACAAAAATAATGGACTGGGTATTAGGTCTATCTTGTACCTTACTGATACAAACTGGTATAGTTGTGCTCTAATTGTATTTTGAGAGAAGGTTTTTTTTTTAAACAGGAAGGGTGATATGTAGTGGGAAATTTTCCCTGCAAGCTGGGAGGAGCTAAGGTGGGAGGAGAAAGGAGAAGAAGAGGAAAGAAGGAAGAAGGGAGAGGGAGAGATGAGAGAGAGGGGAACATGGAAGCAGATGTACATGTGTCTCTAGCAGTCAAAGGCAGTTGATATATCTAGGTTGGGTATTGGGTTACACCTCTGATTGTATGGGCATATTGTTATTGAGCATTACCAAACATATAAAGCCTTTGAATAATCTTTAAAAAAAAAAAGTCAATTATGTACTATTTACAAGCAACTTACTTAAAATGTAATAATTTAGATAGGTTCAGAGACCTCAGCTGGAAGCACAGTGGCTAACCAAAGGTAGCACATGACTCAACACAATTCTGATGATATCCTCCAAAAATATTCCTACTATCTAAGAACAGGTCTATGGCTGCTGAGATTAGAGGGTGAGGAAGATGTGGGCATGAAGGGATAGCTAAGAGCTTCCTGTGAGTAAAGAATATGGACATGGTCTGTATCCCAGTTGTGGTAATGGCTACATAAACCATATTAAAATTCACAGAATCATACATAAAATCCCCCAAATTTCACCATACTGTGTAACTTTTTCTATTTAAACAAAAAACATTTAAGAGAGAAATGGAAAGAAAGAGGGACATCAAGAGCTATTAAAACCAAGCTGGGTATAGAAGAGACTAAAAAAAAAGCACTGGTCTTTGAGAAATCCACATGGAAGGAACAGGTGACCTTTCGTAGGCTCTCCAACCACCCAGACTCAGGAAGAAAAGATGGGAACCACACATAACTGCACACACCTAGAATCACAGGATTTAGGAAGTAGAGGCCGGAGAGTTAGGATGTGAAGGCTAGCCTGGGCTACTTGAGACCACTTCTTAAACAAACACACATGGACATACACACAAGTAGGGAGGGTCACACTCCAACTTTCTCTCCCACCCTACAGTATACAAGTGCTTTTTCCTTGGGAAAAAGTACTTCAGAAGCAAAGGTTGCATGGCACCCAGTGTTCACTAGCTCTTCTTCCTATAGCCAGTCAAACTCCAGCTTTCAACAAGGCAAAGATACAGCCTTTTATCCTTAAGCTTGAATATTAAAATTTCCCACACCAGTCACAGCACTTATTGTACTTATTTGTAACTTGGTGCTTTAAGAATCTTTCATGCTACAGAATTCATTTCTCCTCTGGTCCAGACTTTGAATGAGCTTTGATGTTTCCAGAGCCACAATCAAGGTCCATGCAAAATGGGAGGAAACTACAAGCTGAAGTAGCCTCTTTAGCCTGAAGGCCTTACCGGTCTCCCTGCCTTGTATCCAAAACCTACTTTATATGAAGCCTTACGCTCAATGTGTATACACTCATTCTCCAAGTTACCAAATCTTCTGAGGCTGCTTTCTGCATTTTGTAGCTGAGAAAACTCAGGTATTAAAAGAAGACATCTGCAAGGCCCAGAACCTTTCAACCTTGCTAGGCTCTGGTATCTCAGCTATAAGGACCAGAAGCCCTGTGCAGGGACTTGGGTTTCCCAAAGCAGGCAGGGTATCTTGCAGTGCCTCTCAGCCATGTCCATACCTGCAAAGCCCTGGACAATATAAAGGAGGGGGAGAAGTGAATGGACAATTGAAGAAGAAATAAGTTCAGCCTTCTTCACTGCCAAGCACAAAAATAAGTCCACAAAGCCACAGAGCTAGCTAACGAGGGTACTGGGAGACATGCTGTCACCTTGACCAACCAAAGAGGACAAACAAGCTCAGGATCTATCTGGCCAGCTGCTGAAACCTTCTACCCTACCATGGCCATCAGCTGGAGGCAGAAGCCCTCCAGGTGCCTTATTACTCTTCTCAAAACAAGGGGCTGCATCAAAGTATGAAGCAGGAAGGTATATAGAGAGCTTAGTAACCCAAGATATCCTACATGACCTGAGGAATACAGCACCCCTTTCCTAACAAAGTACTGAGCTGGAGTACACACAAGTCTTTCCTGAGAAAGCAGTGTCCCTCTCCTCCCTAGCAATTCCCTGTTTGTAGTTTGTGGTCAAATGAACAATAAAATAACCTGCATTCTCAGTATGTATGTATGCCTATGTATGACTGGACATACATATTGTTAAAATTATGGGATGTATAATCCATACCTACACAGGTTAAAGTTTCCAACTGTCAATCAAAAGTTTACCAGAGCAGAAAATTATCTATATATCTTGTCCCTAGCAACCAACTCTTCTTTCTCCTGGACCCACTCAGGCCTGCTCTTTTCTTGCAGGGCATCTAACCTTGACTTTCACTTTTAAATAAAATCCTGGACCGGTGAAAAGGCTCAGCAGGCATAAGCACCTACCACCAGCACTGATGAGCTTAGTTTGAGCCCCAAAATCCGTATGATAGAAGGAGAATAGACTCCAAAAATCGTCCTTTAACTTTCCTCCAAATATACCTGTGCATGTGTGGACATACACACACACACACACACGAATAAAACAACTTAAAAGGAAAATCTCACATTATTTATATGTGTGTGCATTTTCAAATCTTTAAATCTTTAAACAAATGACAAGAAACTGAGCTATAGCTGGTCTAGACAGCAACCAACCAGGAGAAGGAGGAAACAGGACAGTGGGCTACTCCCAGGTCCCACTTCTCCAAAGCTCTTGCTCACAGCAAGTGACCCAGCCCACCTCAGCTCTGAGGTATCTGGGAAGAGAACAGCTTCTTTGGTCTTGTTTCCAGATGCCACTTGCCAACAGCTACACTGTAACCTGCATAGCTGGACCCAGCCTCAGTTTAGTTACCAGTCCTATCCTATCAGACATCATCATACCAGGGCTACTGCTTGGGTCTATGACCCAATAAAATCTCAGTGGCTCTGTGGACCAGAGACATGTCTGTTCTTTTCACAGACCCTCAAGCCCCAGTGCTAGGAATGAGGAAGTAGATGGGTGTGGGAAGCACTTCTAGCTGTAGGCAGGATAAACACTGCAGGTCACACCTGCCTGTGTCCTCCCAATAGCAGGGGATAGGCAATCTCTACAGCAGGAGGTTGCAGAGCCCCAAAACTGTTGATTCCCACCAGTTACCATGGTGACTCCAGCGATTCCCACATGCACATCTGCCTTCCTAACACTCCCTTTGCAATGTTAGTGCTTCCACAGGGGCTGTCAGCTACACAGTAACATGGGCATGGTTAAGAACAAGGTGCAGCTCTGTTAAGGGACAGGAAAAGGTTTTACTTACAACAAAGCTGCACTGTGGAGAGGAAACAGAAGAACACCAAGAATTAATGTCAAGTGATGTCCTACGAGGCAGGCCACACACCTATCTACAGTAGTGGATCTACTCAGGGCCTTCTAGCAACAACACACTGGTACCTCATCTCATCTGTCCTCCCTCCCAACAGTAAAGGTGTCTTCACCTGCTCTTCTCAGGTCACACCCACCACTGGTCTGTAGATACGGTAGCCAGTGTTAGGTCTGCTAAGCCAATCCTCCCACTTTCCAGCCTAGGAAAGATGAGCTTCTGAGTTACAGTCCAGGATCCAGAAAGTCAGAGCAGTACCACAGAATTGAGGCAACCCTTGGCTGCAGAGGTTTTAACTGGCCCATCATCAGTGCCAGGCCTCCATATGCCCAGGCCCACATTACTTTCAGCAACTTAAGAGCTTTCAACCACAGTGCCCTAGCTCCAGCAAAGCACAGCCAGGGGACAGGCTCCCTTACCTTAGGGTCCACACGGAGCGGAGTGTTGCGTTTAATAAAGGACTTCATGACACTGCTGCGGGAGGGCAGAGTGGGGGTCATGAGCATCTGGTTCTTCTGCACTGTGTGCAAGAAAGTCCGGAGGGGCCGTACCACCTGCAGACCAGGGCCAGGGTCAGGATGGAACAGGCATGGCAGACACCAAGCAATGGCAGGAACCTGCTCACCTTGTTGGCTGGACAGGGTGGGGAAGGGGTCTTGTTCCGGGGGAACTGCAGTTCTTCATCTTCTAGTTGCTCTTCATCTGGTTCACTCATTGCCTGCTTGTAACTACGTTTCCTCCTGCCCAGGACAGACGGTGACATGTCATAAAGTGAAGTCAAGAATCCACCTCATAGCCCTACTACATCCCATAAAAATCACCCCTGCAAACACATCTGGGCTTAAGCCTCAGAACTCTAGACCTGAAGAGACTGCAGACCAGCCCTTTGCTGCCCACTCAGGAAAAGGCAGGTGGCCAATGAAAGGTCACAGAGCCAAGAACGCAGGGGACATGATCATTCCCAAGACAGCATCTACAGCATCAAGTTGCTCCCTCTTTTAAGTCAGAGAATCAAACACTAATAACAGTCAAGAAGCAGAATGCCTGGCCACACCCCTACATAGCCTCTCCATACAAAGACCCCAGCTGGATTCAAGCCCCTCTGGGATCCTCAGACCACAGCTGCCTACACATCCTTTTCCAGATGCAAACCTGACACTCTGGGGTGGTTCTCTGTGTCCATCTGTTTGGTCAAGCTCAGCTTCTGTGAAGAGAGAAATTTCAATGAGTTTTTTTGAGAAGGGGTCCAGCAGCACTAGCTACAGCAAGAGTAATCCCCAATCCTGGCAACCTCAGGGTGGTCAGTGGCAAAAGCACCAACCTTAGCAGTAACTGGCCTTGAGCCCAAGATACTGGCCCCCAAATCAGATCCTCCAGCCCTAATCCTTGGCAAATGTGACATAAATCACTGAAGCCTTAATCTATATGTCGCTCCCTCTACCACAAAAAGCTATGTGCACAAACCTTACAGGACAAACTGCCAACACTACTACAGTTAAACTCACCTCTCCTGGCCTTCAATTGGTACCACATGATAAAAAATGAAGGTTCTTTTCATGGGGTTATCACACAGGGCACAGTCCATCTTATTTCACACCAAGAGGAAGCACCCTTTACTCCCAAGGATCTTTGCAGCAGTCCCGGCAGCTTTCAAGTTACCACAACTATCCTGACCCCTTCATAAAGGGGATACTTTGCTCGAAACCTTACAGTGCCATTTCTTCACATCACGGAAATCACTCTCCAGAGAGAGACATGAGCCAGACTCCAAGAGCCTACTAGTAGCATGGGAAGCCAGGCAAGGGCTCCTTGACCAACTCCCAAAACCCACAGTAATCCTGCCCTTTTTGAACTAGAGAAGTCAGAAACAAGCCAGGCACAAGAAGCCAGGTAGACTTCAGACCCCAGCCTGTACTTCTTCATGAATCCTTCGGAGTGGGCTTCGAGACCTTCACACGGCTCTCTCACACCTGTACTTCCCTCGGGCCCTTCCCTGTTCCCTACTCCAGACAGCTAGACTTACTCATGTGACATTCAGCAGCAACCTCCAGCCAAAAGATCATGGCTGCTCCAGGTTTATCTCTGGCCCATCAGATTAGAAAAATGGGGTGCCATATCCCAAGACACAGGACCAAGCAGCTCACCTTGCTCTTCAACAGTCGTCGCCTGGCCAGTGGCCACAGGCTTCAAGGTGGGCGTACTAATCGCAATCTTGGTGGCACTGCAGGGTTTGGAGGGACACCCACTGTTCTTGGAAACCTACAAGAAGAACTAAGACTTGAAGAAGCCCACACAGATCCTGAGGCTCGGGCTGGCTATGGCACAGAGCTTTAGACCTGGAGGATTCAAGTCCTACCCACCTCTGGCCTACGGCCTTACCTCTTGCTCCTCTACTGCCTCCTCAGGCTCAGCCACCTCAACAGGCTCCTGCTCCAGGCTGAAAGCAAAGCAGGCGCACTGTGAAAACTCTTAATCCAAGTTTCCTCCAGCTCCTCAAGTTAGGGCCAATATTAGGTGGCCAGACCTGGATCATAAACCAACAGCCTAGGCTGGATCAGAAGACAGCAGCCATCACCAGTGGCTTCCTGAGTAGAAAGTTATGTGACTTTCTTATTAGAGGTCAGTTGCTTATTAGGAGTGTGCCCATGAAGGTGACGATGGGTCCATAGCCCTTTTCCTTTTCTCCCTTTCTCCTTTCAAGTCCCAGCCATGAGATGAACAGTTTTGTGGACCAAACTCCCATCATGATGTACTGCTCCCCAAAGCAGCAGAGCGAACATGGTTGTAGGCTTAGCTCTCCAACCATGAGCTATGACAAATCATTTTTCTCTGTAAGCCGAATAACTTTTAGGCATTGTTCCAGTGATGCAGAGAAGACAAATATTTTACTCAACTGTCCCAGTCTATAAGGTCCAGAAAAGTCTCATCTCTTTTGATGGCTGCTCACTACTTATCCAGGGGCCAGCTAACCCAAAGGCATGCACAGACCCCATTTCCTCATCCCAAGTACTGACCCTCTGCCCCAAAGTAAAGAAGGACTAGCTCATGATAGCAGAATATGATCTCTGAGAAGTCAGTGTCCTGGGCCCAAGCAATGCTAGGTCTAATCTGGAGACAGAAAGCACCCCTCAGCCCCAGATTGCCACACTCTACTACACTTCATTTTAAATGGTTGTTCTGCATTATTTAGAGCCATGGAGCTTACACACTCAAGCTGACAAGTGATACTGATAGAATGTTGCCTAGAGACTTGATAGTCATGTTGCTTGCTGCCTGGTTACATGAGGACCACGCTAAGGGAGCATGGCTGTCAGCAGTGCTATGGAGAGATGGGATGAGAAGGATAGGCTTAGTCTCAGTAACAGCTTTCACTTGGTGGTCACCTCCACTCCCTCCTGCAATATGCCATTACCACCCCTGCAGAAAGCACTAGCATGGAACTTACCCAACATTCTGAGGCACTTCAACATCCAGGAGCCTCTCCAGGTAACTGTGACCTGAAGGACAAACAAAAACGAAAGATGCCATCATAAGCCAGTCAGGAACCAGCCCAGAGGTACAGGAAGTTTTGGCAGGGACATGATCACTGCCCCTTTCATGGACACACAGGCCTCACTGTATCCTGGGTCTTTCCTCATTCATCCCTCACAACCTCAATGAAGCTATTAGCTTTATGTAGCCTGCATAACAGGCACACCTCCACCTCTTCACTAGGCTAGGAGTGTCTTGGAAAGAGCAATGTCTGACATTATACTGGACACCAACACAAGCAGCCTATTCACTCAACAAACATTCATCAAGTACCTACTATGTCCTGGGCTCTGGGCCAGGTGTTGGAGCCCCAGTGGTAAGGAAAAGAACAAAGCCACTGTCTGGTCTTTTTACCTTCCAGCATCAAATAATCTTACACAGCAAATAAGGATATGTGCAACGACCAAGTCAAGGATGCTAAAGCCTAGATGGAGACTGAACTGATGTGAAAGACTTGATGTGATGAAACAACCAAAGGGGAACTGGGAGGTGGTGTTGCACACCTTTAATTCCCACACTCCGGAGGCAGAGGCAGGAGGTTCTCTAAGTTTGAGACCAGCCTGGTCTATAAAGAGAGTTTCAGAACAGCCAGGGCTACACAAAGAAACCTTGTCTCGAAAAGAAGAGAAAATTTTAAGGAGGAAGAGGTAGATCAATATATATAAAAGAAGGAGGATAAAATAATAGTAGGATGTCAAAAAAGTCATAAAAATTCATATTATGTATTTACCTAAATCACATGTAATATATATAAATCTATTTATAACACACACACATAGTTTGAATAAAATCTGACTCCCTACAAAAGCTATAAACCATCTAATAAAAACCTCAATACTGGGAATGAGAAGCCCTCTTTTGAACTGTTGGTCAAGGTTGTCTAAAAGACTCATATTGCTATTGCCCTTGGTTGCCTCCAGAGCTTCAAAGTTAAGTCCCTATTGCTAAAGACATGCACTTAAAAAACTAGACTTGGAGGATCCAAGTTGGATCTGACCTGAAAGCCTACTCTTTAAGAACTAGCTTTCATATTACCAGAAAATGCCATGCAAGTATTCAAGAGGTAAGCAAGCAAGGAATATTACCCACTTATGAAATCTATGAACTGTAACAATGACCACTATGGCACCATAACCCTAAGGGTATACCAATAGCACCCATGAAAGTAGCCAACAGCTCTCCTAGTTGGACTTAAGGCCCATTCAACAAGAGGGAAATTGTGCCTGGTGCTAGAAACCCAGCCAACCCAGGGCTAAGAGGTCATAGATCTTGGAGGAGAACCCACAACTGCCACTTTACTAAGCAATACAATTCCTAACTGCAATTTAAATATTTATTATACTCACAGACAACTGTAGTGCTCAACCATCATTAAAGAAACTTCTCTTTGCAACAGATGGAAGCCATTACAGAAAAGCACAATAGAACAAAATGCAAAGAACAAGTGACCTTATGTGGTGCCCAGCCCCAACTGATGTATCTACAACTTCTACGCCTGAGGGTCAAGAACACTGGGAAAGAAAACAGTCAAAAGAGCCTGAGAACAGGAACTATCAGATGAGACTACATCTTCTAGAAATGTCAAACAAGCTACAAAGACCCATGAAGTCTTAACAGCATGGCTGCCTAAACAAGAGCTGAATGAGGACAAGAGAAAGGCATGCCAACATAGAGGAGGAAAGCTCATTGGACCACAACCCTCGACAAAGAACTACAGCAACTAAGTAAAGCTGAAACTGGGAGAAAATGGTCTTCCCCACGGAAGAGGGCCCCACCACATCATGTACAGTTGAGCAACACTGTACAGACTGAGCAGGCTGTATATATATATATATATATATATATATATATACACACACACACACACACACACACACACATATACACACGCATGTGTGTGTGTGTAACAACAATTAAAAAAAGAGAGGCCATGAATTTGAGAGAGAATGGGGTTAGACAAAGAAAAGGGGAAGGGAAAATGGTGTAATATTTTGACTTCAAAATTTTTTTAAAAAGTTTTCATGCAAAAAAAAAAAAAAAGAATAAAAAGAACTACATGTCTGATGTCTAACACCAAAGCATGAAAGAATCTATGAGGTTCTCCCCAGTTCCTCGTATCCCTCCCATAGCTCCAGGCTCACCTAACCCTATCGGTCCCTCCCCAGGACCAACTTCAGACCTGAAGAAATCTCAAAAGGAGCTGTGACACTCACCCCACCCCAGGCCACCTGACAATCAAAGACAGACAGTGTACCAGACCTTGTGCTGCACATGGCCTACACTGTCTCTCCAGGCTACACAGCCCAAAGCTGAACCAAAGAGAACCTTCCAAGGTATGGTGTTTTCATGTGCCCGACAAACCCAGTCCTTGAGCTTCTCACCAGCCCCTCAGTAACTGCCTTCCTAGATGGAATGCAAGTGGGCTCAAATCCTAACTTTTGGACTCTACATCTTGTCTACTTCAGTTTCCTCTTCTGTTAAAAGGCATAAACCCTGAGGAGAAAATATAGATTTCCTCCATAAATCTTACAAGACCCAGATAGATTTACTTCCTGTTTACTATGAAACTTAGCTTGTCCTCTGACCTGGATCTTGCAGAAACCTGGTATTTTTGCAGGATGCCTAAGAACTTTCAACAGCCATCACTGGACTAGATTTGCTTTAATGTTGGCCCATCACTTACTGCTTGAAGTCTCCAAGTCTTTGTGCAATCCTTTCCTTGGTCAGGATTGCTATGCTATACTTTTTCTCCACCTGGCCCAGGCACAGCCATCCTTCAAAAATCTTACTAGCAACCCTCAGGCAGCCAACCCCAACTCTCAGGATTGCCTATTTTCCTCTGAGGCTCATTAAGATCTACCCACCAGGGCACTGTGCCCTGGGCTTAGACCTAACCATAATGAAAGCAGCTACTGGGTACCAGCCCATATGCTGTATGTGGCACCACTAGGAGTTAAATACAGGGTTAGTGAGTTTAAGTCCATCACTCCAAGACAGCAAAGAGGGACCAAGGGATATACTGACTCTGAGAAAAAGACCTTTGGAACGCTGGGGCCAACAGTTTAGCTTATTTATGAATTTACAAAACCATGTTGACCCAAGCGGTGATGGAACATGCTTTTAAATCCCAGCACTCAGGAAGCAGAGACAGGTGGATCTGATTTCTAATACAGTCTGAGCTACAGAGTGAGTTCCAAGACAGCAGAGCTACACAGAGAAACCCCATCTCCAAAAAAGAAAATAAAACATACAAATAAACAACAACCAATGTTGAACTGATATCAATCAACAAGTAGTGGCAGCCATTGAAATCTAAATTGGTCAATGAAACTTAAAACAGTGAGAGGACTCAGGTAAAGGCACCTGCTGACTGGAGTTCCATCTTCAGGAGAGAACTGACTCTTACAACTTCTCTTCTCTCTCTCTCTCTCTCTCTCTCTCTCTCTCTCTCTCTCTCACACACACACACACACACACACACACAAACACACACACACACTATAGCAAGTGTGCACATATGCATACACATACTATTAAAAAGAAAAACAAAGGGCTGGAGGGATGGTTAAGAGTACTGTCTGCTCTTCCAGAGGTCTTGAGTTCAATCCCCAGCAACCACATCGTAACTTATAACCATCTATTTGACCAGATGCCCTCTTCTAGCATGCAGGTGTACATGTAAATAGAGCACTCGTACAAAAAAATAAATCTCAAAAAAATTAAAAAAAAAAACCTTAAAATTCAGCTCCTTAGTGATGCACACTTGTCATCCTTAACACTTTGGATACAGAGTCAGGAGGACTTTGAGTCCAAAGCCAACCTAAGCTACATAGCAAAAGCCTTATCTCAAAAACACAAGAGCTAGGGGATACTGCCCAGTAGTTGAGAACTTGCCTTCCTGGAGTGGGGGCCAGGGGTGGGGGGATCAGCTTCATCGACTATACATATTTTCAATAGCCAGGCATGGCTAGCTAGTAGCTCCATTCAGGAGATTCACATGAGAAACATTTATCACTGAAGTGTCAACGGAAACATCCCAGCTGAGCAGACACCAGGGCCTGCCCACCACACCATCACCCCAGCACTGCCCCCACACTCACAAATGATACGAGCAGAGGCCTCTGGCTCTTTGCCGGCCTTCTTGGCAATCCTGCTTGATCTGTGACTGGCTTTTTCTTGTTCGGCCACCAAACAATACTTTTTGTCTAGTGGCACTTGGGAATCCTGGGAAATCAGGCTTCTCCGCACTGACCGAATATTCCCAAGAGGGCTCTTGGCTGTGGTGGGCAAGATATTATTTGGCAGGATGGGAGAAAGTACCCGCTCTTGCCATGGAGAGTCTGTAGAGCCAGGAGAGTCCTGCAGGGCCCGGGAGGCCCGAGCAATCTTGAGCTTGGAAACAGAACGTCCTTCCCCAACCCCTCGGTTCTTGGGGCTCTGAGGGGTAGCCTTGAGGGAGTTCACTGTGACAGAGTCCAGCCTCCCAGCCTCTGATTTCTTGGGTGTTGATTTCTCCTCTGCTGTCAGGGTGCCTTGGGAAACTGAAGATGGAGGAAGGCCAGCTTTGAGCTTACTGAGTTGTAGTTCTGCACTCAGTTGATCACTGGTGCTTACCTCCACAATAGCTTTCTTCAGCAGCACTGTGGGAGGAGACTCAGCAGTGGGAGAGCAAGAACCTGATGCCACAGACGCAGATGCTGATGCTGCTGCTGCTGCTGCAGCAGCAGCTGCTGCAGCCCGGGTTATCCGCTGCAACACAGGGGAGCCATTCTCCTCAACAATAGTAACCGGCTTGCTGCGGAGGTGCCGGGTGCCTACCTGACTGCTCCGAGACTTTCTGCGAGATAACCTGTTGGGGCAATAGAACAGAGGCTGAGACAGCCCAAAGGAAGGGGCACCCTAAAATTATACTAGAGTATATCAATCTCCCCAGTAGCCTCCAACTTCAATGAAGTATGAGCAAAAGGTCCAGAGGCAAAACCTTGAAGTTCCAGAGCAGACTACCACTTCTAGCCATGAGACCCCAGTTGTTCCTCTCTGAGCCTCAGTCTTCCCAACTATACATGGACAGTTGCAAGTTCAGCATATTCTGCAAGTGACAATGAGTTCCTTTACTCACTGAACTGCTGGGAAGATTAAATTCATACCAACTTCTTGACTGTTGTTACACTGTGCTAAACACTTTCTGCAAATGTCACTCATGCTCTCATCTGCAGGACTGAGATAATGGCCCAGGGAGGTAGGTACCATTTACTCAACTTTGGAAGATGAGAAAACGGAGATGAGGATTTCATTCCAAGGATGTACAGCTGTTGCGCCAGTTGCGATTGACATACGTAGGGCTGTCTGATTAGAATGACTAGCATGTTTATCTGAGTGCTGCAGTCACCACCATTCCTACAGGGAATTATAACAAACCCAACAACAGAGGTAGGAACCAGCAACCTGGGCCACACCTCTGGTGCCTCTCCCCTCCTCCAAATCCCAAACTCCCTGCCTCCAATCTCACTGCCAATGCACAGAAATCCACACCTGTACTCTGAACTGGGTTAACAGTTTATTTTATCCATGGCATCTCAACTGTCAGGGTCAGTGTGAGCCACCAATCACTATTGCCTTCCAGCTGCTGCACCTAACAGCACATTCAGGAACAAACTCTCCCAGAAGGTACCAAGTCTCCAGACACCCTCCAGCACAGCCTCCCAAGCCTTTCTTACCTTTTCCTCACGGGATCTCTGTTTTCATCCTGAATGTTAGACACTCGTCTCTTCTTCCGACGGTTTTTCTGAGAAGGAGTTTTGGGCATCAGCTCTGGCTCATTGCTGAATTCTCTGTTAAGTACAACGAGGGTGAACATGAGGCTTCCTAAGAACTACTAGGCTGCTCCTTCTCTCACTAGACTACATTCCACCCTATTCTCGGCAATGACAAATCAAGCTAGAGAGACCATCGCCAGGAAAGCTCTCCAAAGCTATGTGAAATCAGCAGCTGGACTCTCAGAGAACTTCCTCCTGAACTTAAAGCAGGGAAGTAAGTAAGTTCCAAGACAAGTCATCACAGGCCATACACTCAGAGATACAGCTAACCACAGTGAGCCAGGAGGAGGGCTCAATCTCCTCTTCCTCTGGCCACTGCACTGGGTTGGCCCCATCATATGAGGCACTTAGGAAGGAACCCTGACAGGCTATTTGTCTGACCTATTGGGACACCCACCCCAGCTCCCTCACCACCACCACCCCAGCATGTCCCGGCCTTTACCTGATAAACATGCGCTCAGCCTCCTCCTCAATCTCCTTAAGCCACATGAAGTCCTTATTGTCCACATTGTAGACAAAGTCCAGGAGTTTCTGGTCACATAGATCCAGAAGGTAAATGGGCCCTGGGGCTGTGGTCCCCATGATGGCACTGTCTGGTTAAGGAAGAGACAAAAGGCATAAGGACTCAGGGCTAGGAACCAGGACCTTCTCCAAGTCTGCCAAATCCACAATCACACAGAATACCCTGTGCCTAAATCCATGCCATCTCCCTGGACAGAGCCACTTGCCAATGTACAATTCTAATACCAACCCAATGACCTCATCGTCACAAAAAGAAATCATGTTGCAGCAATCCCAATCTCTTGACACCCCCTCAACCCAATACAAATACAGAGTATGACTGTCCCTACAGGTCCACCCTTCCTGACCAATTCTGATATAAACTTTACAAACTGTCCTTCAAGGACTGAATATGACCACACACTACCTTCCTGGATCAAGGAGAAACACCAAGCTGTCATACTGCCTCTCTTTACCCAAGTACAGACCTGTTTACTTTCTTGTGGGCTCTCTTCCCACTTCTCATGGATGGGAACTAAGACATGGCCATCCTGTGTTGACCCCAGATACCAGATCATCAAGACACCAAGTCTAACTGTCTCTTTAAAATGACAGTGGATGGCTAGCAGAACAACTCAAGCACTTGCCACCATACCTGATGACCTGGGTTCAATCCCTGGGACCCACATGGTAGGAAAGAAATGACTCCTTCAAGTTGCCCTCAGACCTCTACACAAACCATGACACACTGCACATTTGTATAACACTTTCTTCCCAGACTGAACCATTCCATCTGCAGGGAAGCTCCTTAAACAGGAAGGTCAACAACTTAAAAAAAGCTTCAGGAATTCCCTGAAATTGACCAAATTCATTAGACCTCTGCCAGAGTCAACAAATGAAAGCTGAGAGTCCCTCTCAAACAAGCAGAGCTGAGCTGCAAAAAGTGGAAACCAGCCAAGCTTCCTAGACAAGGTTTAGACTGACTATGTCACTTGGAAAGGACACTCTCTAACCTGTTAAGCTAGCTGCAGGCTGTGCAGTGTGCTGCAGGTTTCCCAGTTTTTATGAGCTGTTACCAATGCTGGGGTGGGCCTAAGTGATGCAGCTGTCTGTGAGTCAGTTCTGCTCCTGAAACTTTATGCCATTATACACTGTAGCCTCAAGGGTCTTCTTTGAAGTTCTTCAGCCTGATTTGTGGGAGCATACTACCCCTCTGTCCTTCAACCTGTAACTCCTCACTGATACTACTGTAAGTAACCCAAAAAATTTTCACTGGTTCACAAAGTTGGACTTTAGTGGTGGGTATCCATACTTTGGCCTACTGTGGGTTCCCTAACTAGGGTAAATAGACGTGTGTGTTGCATCTCCTCAGGTAAAGCTTTGTCACACAACATGTTCCCATATATACCCATATATATGCACAAATAAACAAGTAAATAGACACTAGAACTGAACATAGTTCATGCTATGATCCCAACATTTGAGAAATTCAGGAGGATCATTTCAAGGTCATGCTTAGCTACATAGCAAGTTTAAGACCAACCTAGACTACTTGAGACTCTGTCTTCAATTTGTGTGTGGGGGGGGTGTGGGGGAGGGGAGTCAGTAGATAGAAATGTGCTATACATTCCACAGAAATGAATAAGAAATGAGGGGTCCAGAAACATGTTCTCCAAAGAAACTTCCAAAACCCTCCCTAGAGCCAAAATGCCCTATGAATGGATGAGGGGGAGTGGAGTGAGTGAGTACGAAATGTGCTGCTTTCAAGACCTGGCTATAAATACCAGGCAAAAGACCAGGCAGTGCCAGTTTACCTAGTGTCTTAAAAAGCTGGGGAGCTTGGATATCTGCCTTATGACCTGGCTATACAATCCTAACAAAGGTCCTACACTAAGAGGAAATATTCTGTTACTGTCATAAAAGGGCCCCATAAGTGGTAAACACATGAAAGAACAAGAGTGGGTGACAGCTATGACCAATAATATACCAGATCACACCTTACCACCGTGACTTACACTTTCAAAAGCAAGAAGCATGCACGCATACTTCAGCCTCACCTACAGAGAAAAGTCAGGGAAGGAAGGGCTAGATTACTGAGCCTCTTGGAACTTAACACTAGCTTATACTGTGGCCTCTAGGATCTTCCTTGAAGTTCTTCAGCCTGGTTTGTGAGGCACACACTACCCCTTTGTCCTTCAAACAAGTTCTGGCCTCTAGGAACTCTGTCTCCTGTTTTGTACACCTTCTTCACTTAGCTTTCAGATCCTTAAGGAGGATCAACCTCCAATCCAAGCGAAGAGCTCACACACAGATTCCAGTTATGTGCACAGCAAATGAGTGATTGTTTATGTTTGCTTACTGCTAGTCTCTACCCACTAAGCATTGCTAAGGTTAAGCCTTGTGCCTTACTCATCAACAAAAAAAGTCTGGCACTTGTAGAATGAGTTCATCCATCCATCAACAAATCCCAAAGGTTGCTTCACCATCAAATACAGGGACACTCAGTGAGCAACTCACTAGGCACAGGTTAGGACAGGTCAATACACACCCTGATCTAACCGCCAAGGGCAGCACTAACTGGGACAAAACCAAATGGATAGGAGCACTGAGGCTTTAGGAAAAAAACATTAACTGTACCGCCAGCTAATCATGGGCATGGCCTTTCCACTGATTCTCCCTATCCCCCAGCACCAGAAAACAGCCCTAGCAAAGTCCAAGAGAAAACTGTTCCAAGGACTTCAAAGACTTGCAGAAGAGCTACAGAAAGTAACAAATGGGAAATTTTACAAAATGTTTGTTCAAGCTACAATCTGAGTGAGCGCTTCTTTCACCAAGTCCAAAACCACACTTCTACCATGGGGAAATGTGTTTTCTAGCAAGCCCTCGCTGAAAAGATAGAAGAGGTGACTCTGAGGAAAGGAGGGATGTAACAAGAACCAGACACCTGGGTAGCTTCACCTTCAGCCCATGAAATAACCAAATCCCACCATAGAAGAAGGAAGGTCACTTCCTCTCCACAAATACTTCTTCCGTGCCATTCACCAGATTAGCGCCGCCATTGCCATCTCCTTTAGGGGTGCAGGAAATGAACTAACCACTTCTCCCCACACACCTCCAAGCAGGAAGATCGATCGCTAAAGCTGCTCTTCCATTCAGAGTCCTACTCCATGCCAAGAACCCTCTCATTTCCTTCTTGCCACATACTCCAAGTTAACCATGCACATACAAGATACCCATGCACATACAAATCTAGGTCAAGTCACCCAGTAAATCAGAGGGCGGCCTGGATTTAAAACGCTTTTTAACCACTAGCCATAGGCCTCCAGGACAATAGCTACAAACTCAGAATGACACAATTCCAACGCTGGGCAGCAGGAAGCTGGATGGAACTGTGCCGCTGACAAGAGCCTACGCTTGTGGGGATGACAAAATAAGTAGCAGGACCGGCCTCCGGATCTGGGACAGTTTTTAAATGCTGCTCAGCTGGGAAAAAGATGAGCTGCCATTGCCATACGGAGACACAAGTCCGGGTCTATAAAACAGTTCAGGCTCTGCACAGGTGTTGGGCCCGGCGTGGGGGAGAGAACTGACCATTCTCGGATCCCAGGACTCAGGTGCAGGGGCTTGGAGTTCATCTCCAAGCTCAGAACCATTGGAAGTGATTCCCCACACCCATAGGCAACGAGGGACGAAGGCGACTCCCTCGGCCCACCCTGGCAAGAAAAGCGGCCGGGACCAGTAGCCGAACACCGCGACCCTGCGACGCCGGCCGCCCGCGCTCACTCACCGGTGGGCGCCGCGTCTGCCCGGACCACTCCTATTCCAGTCCGCGGCTTCTGCAGATAAAGCTTCCCGCCAAGCCGGACCGGCTGGACTCCCGGTTCCGCGAGCTCGCCACAGGCGAGGACCAACCGGGCGGTGAGCGCGGGCGAATCTACGATTTTCAAAATTGTGGCTCAACCAATTCCCCTTAAGTTTGTCTGGGCGGTTACAAAACTCCAAACCAATCACATAACGGGACGCACGAGTCCGTTTATCTGTTGGCTGTTAGTACTGTCAATCTGTGGGACCAAGAGGCGGGGGAGAAGAACGTAGACGCTTTTAACACGCCCCAACTTCCGGAAGCCGAGGCATTCTACGCGGTGAGGAAGTGGTTGCGCAGTCTCGGAGAGAGCGCAGCTCCGAATTACAAGTCCCAGCGTGCTCTGCGAAGGCAGGCTTGGTGTGGGAGGATACCTATTTATCTTCGAGCCAGCGGCTTCATTGGTTTCAAGTCTAAAATGCTTCTGCGTTCGGAATGACAGCTTTGTCACCTCTGCTACTTTTCAGTAGTAAGAAGAAACACATTGCAAATCTCACAGAGACTTCCCTCAAAGAGCAGTCAGGCATATAACTACAGAATGTTTCCTTAGAACTGCGATTGTCACCCGGAAGTGTTTACTAAGTACCCTCCAGATTGGACGCCACATGCAACAATTTTCTGGCCACATATAAAGGTAAAGTCTTGAGTTGAAGGTGTGTCACCACCACCTGTAAAATAAAACACTTCAGTCTCCAACATATTTACACTTTCACCTTCTTTACAGAATCATTCCCAGTAGCCAAGAGGTGGGAGAAAATGTCCCTGAACAGGTAAAGAAGGGTTTTTATTTATGTTTAAATTGTTTTTCCCTTTATTGAAAATAGATTTCCTTACTCACATAATATATCCTGATACAGTTTCCCCTCCCTCTACTCCTCCCAGTTCCAACTTCCCCTTCCATCTGGATCCACTCCCTTTCAAAACAGGCTTCTAAGGTTTAATAAGAAAATAACATATAAAATATAAGATAACGAAAAATCTATCATATCTGAATTGGATAAAACAAAGAAGAAGGCACAAGAAACAGAGACCCACTTGTTCAAACACTAGGGAATTCCATAAAAAAAAACAAAACAAAAAAAAAAAAAACCTGGAAGCCATAACATATGCAAAAACCTGATGCAGACCTGTGCAGACTCTGCAAGCTGCCTCAGTCTCTGGGTTCATATGAGCTTGATCCTGCGTCCTCCATTCCCTCTGGCTCTCATACTCTTTCTGCCACCTCTTCCACAGTGTTTCCTGAACCACGACGGGAAAAACTTAATAGAGACATTCCAATTAGATTTGAGTATTCTAAGGTCTCTCACGCTGCATGTCTGGCTGTAGGTATCTGACACTTGTTCTATCTGCTGCAGAAGGAAGCTTCTCTGATGATGGCTGAGCAAGGCACTGCTCCATGAGGGTAGCAGAACGTCATTAGGAGTCATTTTATTGCTATGTTCCTTTAGTAGAACAGTAGTATTTGATTTAACCCTAGGTTCCTGAGCTATCTAGTCTCAGATTGTTGGTCACCCAAGCAGGATTCAATCTTGTGGAGTGGGCCTTAAGTCAAATCAAATATTGGTTGGTTACTGCCACAGGTTTGTACCACTATTGCCCCAACATATCTTGTGGGCAGGAAATCATTGTAGATCAAAGGGTTTTGTTAACCCCACCAAAGGAGAGTAAAGACCATTAACCAAATTCTGTAGTTGAATTAAGCAAGTTTTATTTTCTATCACACAAGGCTATCTCCCTAAAGCAGAGTTTGAAAGAACAGCATCAAATACAAGAGAAGGTAGGATTTATATTAGCTCAGGAACTGCAAGACTAGAAAGGTTTTAATGGTTGGGGGATTTTCAGAGAATCTTATCATGGGGTGGAGGTCAGGGTATAGGATGTGAAACATGTCAAATTCCAAAAAATAGGTCAAGACATGTTCAAACTCAAATTTTACAGAAATCAGGAATGAACTTAGTTTGACCTTGTAACAAGATAGCTTCTAATCCTTTTGGGGGCAGGAGGAGGCAGTCTCTGAGATAGGGTTTCTCAGTATATCCTTGGCTGTCCTGGAACTTGCTCTATAGACCAGGCTAGCCTTGAACTCAGAGATCCACCTACCTCTATCTCTTAAGTGCTGGAATTAAAGGCATTCAACACCATTAAGTGGCTTCTAATCTTAAAATCGAGTCAAGCTAGCCCATCAGTTTATGGCTGGGTTCGTGTTTATGTTTCTTTTGGTAGCATACAAAGTAACTTCCTGTACCAAAGATGCTAGAATATACTAGTGAAGGCTCTATGTAGGCACCACCTCAACTTCTTCATGTTCAATGAGTTTTATAGGTGTTATCATCAGCAATGGGGCTTGCCATTGGTTAATGGAAAGCAACCTATAGTCTTGGCAACAACCTAAGTTGTTTGGGGATTCCTGTGAGATCCCTTTGGCCAACAACCCAATTAGATGTAACCCAATTCCAGTACTGGAAGCTCCATTTGGTAACAAGAAATAGTCAATTAGGGTCTGTCTCCCCCATTATTTGAAAGTTTCATTTAGATTGCCTCCATATATGTACGTGTTTTAGGAAGATTTTACTGTATTGGGTTTCCATACTACTCCTCAAATAGCCCTTAATTTTAGCTGTCTCTCCCTCTATTCCCTCCCTTGCCTCCCTCTCCCCTTCTCCTCTCCACTTGATCCTCTGGTTCCAGACCCCCACCCATCCGTAACTATCCATTCTATTTCCCTTTCCTGAAGAAATCTCTGTCCCACTCCTATGTATGGATGAGGAGAAGGGTTTTTATTGTAGATATGAGGAATAATTTAACCAAAGGCATCAAGAAGCGTCCAGAGCAGAGAAAGAAGGTTCTTCTGAGTGTAGCTTGGTTGTTTTTAACTTAACAGCTAATATGGTGTTTTGGGGGAAAAAAAGCCCCCACAGGCCCATAGGGAGTGGCACTAATAAGAGGTGTGGTCTTGTTGGAGGGGGTCCATGACTGTAGAGTAGGCCTTGTGGACTCAGAAGCTCAAAGCAGTTCTCTCCCTACTGCCCAGGAATCAAGATGTAAAACTCTCAGCTCCTACTCCATCACCACGTCTGCCTACATGCCACTGTGTTCCCTGCCATGACAATAATGAACTAAACCTCTGAACTGTAAGCCAGCCCCAGTTAACTGTTCCTTTAAAGAGTTCCAGTGGCCACAGTGTCTTTTCACAGCAATCAAACCCTAACTAATATCTACATATAAGTGAATGCATACCATCATTTTCTTTTAGGTCTGGAATACCTCACTCAGTTTTTTTTCTTTCTCTATTTCCATGAATTTACCTTTGAATTTCATGATTTTGTTTTCTTTTTTTGGCTGAGTCCATTTTTTAATGACATACTCCATTGTGTAAATGCATCACATTTTATTTTCTTTATGTATTCTTGGGTGGAGAGGCAATTGGATTTGGTTGTTTCCAGTTTCTTGCTATTATGAATAGAACAGCATTGAACATGGCTGAGCAAGTGTCTTTCTGGTAAGATAAAGTGTCCTTTGAGTTTATACCCAAGAGTTGTATGGCTGGATCCTGGGGTTGATGGATTCCATCCTTTCTAAGGAACCACCATACTGTACAAGTTTGTACTCCCACCAGCAATGAATGAGTGTTCTCCTTACTCCACACCCTAGCCAGTATAAGCTGTCACTTGTTTTATTGATCTTAGCCATTCTGACAGACATAATATGGAATCGCAAAATAGTTTTGATTTGCATTCCCCTGATGGCTAAGGATATTGAACAATGTTTTATGTGTTTCTCATCCATTTGAGTTTCCTATTTTGAAGATTCTGGTTATTTGTTTTCCTCATACCTAGTGTTTTTACTTTTATATATTTTGGATATTCGCCCACTATCAGATGTATACTGGATAAAAATCTGTTCCCAACATAGGCTGGCCTGACCACCCAGTTCTTCCAAAGACTAGACTACGGACCAAGGAGTGTATCTAAAGGTATCTTTGGCTTCGGATACATATGTAGTAGAGAATGGTCTTGCCCAACTACAACAGGAGGGGAGGCCCTGGGTCCCGAAGGGTGGGGGAGTGGGGTTTGATGCCCCAGACTAGGGGGATACTGGAGTGGTGGGGCAGGAGAGTGTGGGTGGGTGAGGGAGCACTTTCATACAGGCAAAAGGGAGAGGGGAGGGCAGATGTGGGGTGGGGGGGATAGCAGATGGGTAACCGGGAAGTGGGATATCATAGGATGGGGGAATTGGTGGAGGGGGTAATTGGGATATCATTTGAGATGTAAATGAATGGAATGATTAATAAATTTAAAAAAAACTGTTCCCATTTTGTAAGCTCCACGTTATCTGAATGACAATATTCTTTACCATACAAAGGTATCTCAGTTTCATGAAGTCTCATTTATTAATTGTTGATCTTTTTTTTTTTTTTTTTTTTAGAATTGGACCAGAACTTTTAATTGTTGATCTTAATGCCTGTACTATCAGTGTTCAGTTCAGGTCTTTTTCTGTGCCAATGAGTTCAAAGCTATTCCCCACTTTATCTGGTTTTATTTTTTTAAGATTTTATTTTTTTAAGATTTATTGTATTTATATGAGTACATAGCTGTCTGTAGCTGTCTTCAGACACACCAGAAGAAGATATCAGATCCCATTACAGGTGGTTGTGAGCCACCGTGTGATTGCTGGGAATAGAACTCAGAACGTCTGGAAGGGCAGTGCTGCTCTTAACCACTGAGCCATCTCTCCAGCCCTTTACCTGGCTTTATGTTGAGGCCTTTGGTCCATCTGGACTTGAGTTTTGTGTAAGTTGATAATTATGAATCTAAGAGGCAGGCAGATTTCTGAGTTCAAGGCCAGCCTGGTCTACAGAGTGAGTTCCAGGACAGCCAGGGCTACACAGAGAAACCCTGTCTTGAAAAAAAAAAAACAAGATAATTATGGATCTATTTAGATTCTTATACATGCAGCTATCCAGTTTGATAAGCACTATTTGTTGAAGATGATGTCCAGTATTTCTGACTTCTTTATCAAAAATCAGATGTCCATAGGTGTATAGATTTACATCTGCGTCTTCAGTTTGAT